TCTAGATTGGCACGGACGCTTTTCCGCAAAAGCACTTTTTGTGGAAAAGCGTCTGTGGCCAATCTAGACGCATTTTTGTGCAAAAAAGCCCCGATTGCCATGTTCACGATCGGGGCTTTTTTGCGCAAAACAAATCTTCGCTGTCTAAACAGTGAGGGGGCAAAATTTGCAGATGATACTAACTGCTCAAGGTAGTTAAGACCAAAGCAGACTGGGAAGAGCTTCAAAAGCATCTCACGCAACTACGTGATGGGGCAACAAAATGGCAAATGAACTTTAATGTTGATAAATGCAAAGGGATGCACATTGGAAAAAATAATCCCAACTATTCATATAGAATGATGGGGACTAAATTAGCCGAATGAGATCAAAGGCCCGTTGCAAAGGGGCAGTCACCGGTCCTCCCAGGGAAAGGGAGGAGGATGAAAAGGAGCAAGGCAGAGACTGGAAAGGGTCAGCTCCCAGCCCTCCCCGGCTCCATCCCTGCAGCCCCTGGGCAGCCTGACTCTGCGGGAACCCTGGGAGGAGCTGAGAGAGGAAAAGCCACTTGCTGCCTCTGCGAAAGCACCGCCCTGCTTTGAGGAAGGGAGAAAACCAAAGGAGGTGGATCTACACTGGAAACACTCCAAAGTGGCTCCTTTGATTCTGCTTTTTCTAGCATTCAGCTCTGAGAGGCTGTTACTGGGAGCATGTAAAAGTTCCCCCTCGTGCGTTCTGTTCTGCTGGGAGATGCTTAGGTGGTACAAAGCTAACTGCGTTTTTTTCCCCCATCCTGGCTGAATCCAAAGTGTCTGCAGGAGACCTGGGGGGACTCGGGGTGCTACAGGGACTCAAGCCCCTTCTGACACCTCCCCACTCCCCCCTCTTGTCCGACAGGCCAAGGAGACACGTCGAGAGTTCACTCCTGAGCACCCGTCTGCCAGGAGCCAGGGCCAGGCAATGGCCGGGATGGAGCCCGCTCAGGTAGGGGGTTTCAGGGAGCTGCTGGGCGGGGGAAGGTAGAGGCCGGGAGAAGAGTGTGTGATAAACCTAATGATTATCTGAGCAGGCCTATTAGTGCAGAGTGGGGAAGGGACAGGAGAGAGGCGTTCCCCTATTTCCCAAAAAGGACATAAACCCCCTGGGTGGGACTGGAAATATTTTTCAGGCTCCCTGTGCCAGAGCCTGATCCCGCTGGGCAGAGGCTACTGTGAAATACAAAGGGAAGATGTCGGGATTCTTGTCCCCGGCTCAGAGCTCTGCTTCCCGTAGCAGCCAGTGGCTGGCAGTTGTGTGGGAATGAGGCGTCCCTGCCCAGCTACTCTCGTCCTCCTGGAGCTTCTGAGATGTTTGTTTCTTTCTTCCTTTTCTGTCTGATGTGTGGGATGGTGGCTGGGGCCGCAGGCAGTGGGTGAGGGACTCTTGTTGTTGCAGATGCGGGTGACCTTCGAGGAGGTGGCTGTGTATTTCACCCAGGGGCAGGGGGCGCTGCTGGGCCCCGCTCAGAGAGCCCTCTACAGGGACGTCATGCAGGAGAACTACGAGGCGGTGACCTCGCTGGGTAAGGGCGTCCTGGCCCCTCGGGGATTAGGAGCCGTGGGGTCTGCGCGTCCGACACGGGTCAGGTTCTTCCCTGCTCAGGTGGCCTGGACAGGAATGGGTTCCGTGCGCACAGCTGCCAGGGGAGAGCGACTTGCATCTCCGCACCCTGTGCAGTGAGACCAGGGTGTCAAAGCCTAATGGACGTGCTAGCTCATCCCCATCCCTGCAGCTTTCAAGGGGGAGGAGACACATATTCTCCTGTCTGTGTTGTTTCTCATTTGCAACCAGAATCTCTATTCATCACTCTCCTTGGGACTAGCTCCAGTCGTGGGGAAGTCTGCACAGGGAGCAGGGTTTTAACTCTTAAGCTGTACATGCATCAACAAAGCCACGAGAGTGCATGGATCCTGGGAACTCCTAGTGAGGATGTAAAAATTCCACTTTTCTCCAAAGCCATTTGCCCCTTCCCGGGGGCTTAGTGACCATGTTCCCGTCCTCTTGGATTGCACATTCCCCAGCAGAGACCGGGGACAGGTTCCACTCACGGAATGTCCCTTGGGACAGACGCTCTCCCCACCCTCCCTGCACCCTGATCTGTTCTGATTTCACCCCCTGTGCAGGGTTTCCTGTTCCCAAACCTGAGCTGATCGCCCGGCTGGAACGAGGGGAAGAGCCCTGGGTGCCCGACCTCCAGGCCGGGGAGGAAAGAGAGATCCTGAGAGGCACCCGCACAGGTGAGGACTCACACAGAAACCAGGTGTTAGATGAAGGAAAAAGTTGAGAATCCCAAAAATGTGGTGTGGGTAAGTGTCTTGGGTTCTGCCTCCTCTCCTGCGGGGCAAGACTGCAGTCAGCAGATATTGCTCTCCGTTTTCCACTCATCCCCTTAGCAGCAGCTGCGGGGCAGGACTGCAGTCAACAGATATTGCTCACCGTTTTCCACTCATCCCCTTAGCAGCATGAGTTTTCTTCCCCGCTTTCCTTCCCTGTGAGTGTTTGCATGGGAAGTGGAGGCAGAATCGAGTCGCTTAGTCTGTGCAACTTCAGTGTGTTGAGTTTTCCCTCTTTCTCTTGCACACTGTGACAGCTCTTGGAATTCTCTCTCTCTTTCTCCTGGCAGGTGATGAGAGAATGCGTGCGGAACTGGGGGAAAATATTCCTAAGGAAGATCCTGGGCAAGTGGAATCACAGGACACCTTTGTGGGAAGAACTGAATGGCATTTTTCCCAGTGCATGGAACAGGGAGAAGCCTGGGGAGATTGGCACAGGTCGGAGAGGCTGCTGGGAAAACACCCACGAAAGAAAGAGGATGAATCTGTTCCACGTGCGGAAGAAGATGAGGTTCCCACAGCCCAGAACATAAATCCAAAAAAAGAGAAACACTACTACTGCCTCCACTGTGGGAAAGGCTTCATTCTGAGATCCCGCCTTGTGAAACACCAGAGAATCCATGCTGGAGAGAAACCCCTTCAATGCTTGGCCGCTGGGGGAAGCATCAATATTTGTTCAGAATCGACTAACCCTGCGAGAAGCTACTCGAGAAAGAAACCCTATCAATGCCTTGAATGCGGGAAATGTTTGAATTGGAAGTCAGCCCTAATGGCACATCAGAAAAACCACAAAGGAGAAAGACCCCATAAGTGCTTAGACTGTGGAAAAAGTTTCCTATGGCAGTCACGCCTTGTTCTACACCAGGCAGTCCACACAGTTGAGAGACCCTATAATTGCTTGGAGTGCGGAAAAAGTTTCAAAACCAGATCGGCTCATATTTTACATCAGAGGATCCACACAGCGCCGAGACCCCATAAATGCTTAGATTGTGGGAAAAAATTTATGCAGAGGTCAGATCTTTTTAAACATCAGGCCATCCACACAGGAGAGAGACTCTGTAAGTGCTTTCACTGTGGGAAAAGTTTCGCACGGAGGTCGGACCTTGTTAAACATCAGAGAATCCATACAGAAGAAAGGCCCCATAGTTGCTTGGGCTGTGGGAAAAGTTTCAAACGGAGAGCAGATCTTGTTAATCATCAAACAGTCCACACAGGAGAAAGACCCCATACGTGCTCCCACTGTGGAAAAAATTTCACACGCAGATCAGTCCTCATTAAACATCAGGCAATTCACACAGGCGATACACCCCACACGTGCTTGGACTGTGGAAAAAGGTTTTTTTGGAAGTCAGAGCTTGTTAAACATCTGAGAAGCCACACAGGAGAGAGACCCCATAAGTGCTTGGACTGTGGGAAAACATTCACAGAGAAATCGAACCTCATTAAGCATCAGCGAATCCACACAGGAGAGAGACCCCATAGATGTTTAGACTGTGGGAAAAGTTTCATACAAAGGTCAGACCTTGTTAGACATCAAACGATCCACACAGGAGAAAGACCCCATAAGTGCTTACACTGTGGAAAAGATTTCACATGCAGACCATACCTTATTAAACATCAGGCAACTCACACAGGAGACACACCCCATATGTGCTTGGACTGTGGAAAAAGTTTTTTTTGGAAGTCAGACCTCATTAAACACTTGAGACTCCACACAGGAGAGAGACCCCACACTTGTTTGGTCTGCGGGAAAAGTTTCAAGTGGAAGTCAGCCCTTGTTTCACATGAGAGAATCCACACAGGGGAGAGACCCCATCAGTGCTTAGACTGTGGAAAAAATTTCACACGTAGATCATACCTTATTAAACATCAGGCAACTCACACAGGAGATGCACCCCACAAATGCTTGGACTGTGGAAAAAGGTTTTTTTGGCAGTCAGACCTCATTAGACATCGGAGAGTCCACACAGGAGAGAGATCTCACAAGTGTTTAGACTGTGGGAAATGTTTTAAATGGAGATCAGCCCTTGTTCGACATCAGACAATCCACAGTAGAGAGATACCCCATAAATGCTTACAGTGTGGAAAAAAATTCACATGCAAGTCAAATTTCATAAAACATTGGGCAATCCACACAAGAGGGAGTCCCCATAAGTGCTTGGTCTGTGGAAAAAGTTTTAAAAATAGATCAGCCCTTGTTTTACATCAGAGGAGCCACACAGGACAGAGACCCTATAAGTGCTTAGACTGTGGGAAAAGTTTCATTCAGAGGTTGGATCTGCTTAAGCATCAGGCCATCCACACAGGAGAGAGATCTCACAGATGCTTGGACTGCGGGAAAAGTTTCAGACAGAGGTCAGATCTTGTTACTCATCAGACTATCCACACAGGAGATAAACCCCATAAGTGCTTACACTGTGGAAAAAAATTCACACGCCTGTCAAACCTCATTAAACATCAGGCAGTTCACACAGGAGTTATGCCCCATAATTGCTTGGACTGTGGAAGAAGGTTTGTTTGGAAGTCGGACCTCATTAAACATCTGAGACTCCACATAGGAGAGAAACCCCATAAGTGTGTGTTCTGTGGCAAAACATTCACAGAGAAATCAAACCTCATTAAACATTGGCGAATCCACACAGGAGAGAGATCCTATAGTTGCACGGATTGTGGGAAAAGTTTCATACGGAGATCAGACCTTCTTAGACATCAGACAATCCACACAGGAGAGAAACCCCATAAATGCGTATACTGTGGGAAAAATTTCACACGCAGGTCAAACTTCATTAAACATCAGGCAATCCACACAGGAGATAGACCCCATAAGTGCTTAGACTGTGGAAATACTTTTATATGGAAGTCAGACCTCGTTAAACATCTGAGAATCCACACAGGAGAGAGACCCCATGAGCACTTGGGCAGTGGGAAAACTTTCACAGAGAAATCAAACCTTATTAAGCATCAAAGAATCCACACAAGCGAGAGGCCCCATAAATGCTTAGACTGTGGGAAAAGTTTCATACGGCAGTCAGATGTTGTTAGACATCAGAGAATCCATACTGGAGAGAGACCCCATAAGTGCTTGGCCTGTGGGAAAAGTTTCACATGCAAATCTCACCTCTATAAACATGGGAGAATCCACACAGGAGAGAGACCTCATAAATGCTTGGACTGTGAAAAAAGTTTTATATGGAAGTCAGCCCTTACTTTGCATCAGAGAATCCATACAAGAGAGAGATCCCAAATGTGACTGCACTGTGGGAAAAGTTTCATACAGAGATCACACCTCCTTAAACATGGGAGTAGTCACACATCTAAACTTCTGTGACTCAGAGACAAGAAAGTGGTAAGCAACTTGCAGGCAAATTAGCTCAGATTCTACAGTTAGAGACATGTTGGATAAAGTTGTAAATGGCAGTTGGGGCATTGCTAGGTCAGATAATCTTGAGCTGAGAAATATAAACTTGTATTGTTAAAGAATTTGAAGAAGATGGTATCTCTAGTTGTCTGTGTTTTCCTGTCATAGAATGAGAGGACTGGAACGGACCTTGAGACATCATCCAAGCACTATCTTGTATAGCAGGGCTACGCAGCTTTGGAAGCCCCAAGGGCCACAGTGATATTCACAGCACATACTGAGGGCCACAACTTAAAAGTAATTGCATATACATGCAAATATATATGCAAATAGCTTCTTTCATAAAATGCTCTGCTACTCCCAGCACCTCCTCCTGGGAGAGGCGGGGAGGGCTAGAAACACCAACACCCTGTACCTGTTTGTTCCAGCTGGCCTGTCTGCTTGCATCTTTCAATGTTCACCTCACCTGGGAGATGCCTCGCCATTCTGAAGCATGTTCCCAGTGGAGACCGTGTTCAAAGGAAACAGCACTACGGGATACAAACAAGCGGGCTGCGTGTTGAGTAGCCTGTTGTAGACCATCCCTGACAGATGTTTTTCTAACCTGCCCTACAAAAACTCCAATGACGGAGATTCCACAACCTCCCTAGGCAATTTATGCCTGTGCTTAATCACCCTGATAGGTACTTTTTGCTAATGTCCAACCTAAACTTCCCTTGCTGCAATTTAAGCCCATGGCTTCTTATCCTGTCCTCAGAGGTTAAGAAGAACATTTATTTTCCCCCCTCCTCCTTATAACAACCTTTTATGTACTTGAAAACTGCTATTATGCCTGTCTCAGTCTTCTCTTTTCCAGACTATAAAAACCCAATTATTTCAGTCTTTCTTCATAGGTGATTTTTTTTTAGACCTTTAATCAACTTTGTTACACTTCTCTGGATTTTCTCCAGTTTGTCCACATCGCTCCTGAAACATAGCACCCAAAACTGCACACAGTACTCCAGCTGAAGCCTAATCTATGCCAGTTCTTTCTTGAAGCACTTCTGCTAGTACAACCCAGAATGATGTTGGGTTTTTTTCTGATACCAGTCTCTCACTGTTGATTCATATTCTGCTTGTGGTCCACTATGATCCCAGATCCTTTTCCACAATATTGCTTCCTAGCCAGTCACTTCCCATTTGGCATATGCGAAATTGATCGTTTCTCCCTAAGTGGAGCACTTTGCATTTGTCCTTTTTAAACTTCATCCTCGTTACCTCAGACCATTTCTGCAGATTGACCAGACCATTCTAAATGATAATCCAAAGTACTCGCCATCCCGCTCAGCTTGGTATCATCCGCGAACTTTATAAATATACTGTCCATACCATCGTCTAAATCAGTGGTTCTCAGTCGTGGACCATAGGGCTCTCCAGGGCCACGCCCTACCTCTAGGGGGCCACATGGAAAAAACGGAACATTAAGTAAATTATGTACCTTTTTTTCCAACTCACAGCGGCTATGAGGGGGGCCACAGAGGTAAACGAGGCTCAGAAGGAGGTGATGAGCAAAAAAAGGTTGAGAAACACTGGTCTAAATCATTGATGAAAATAGTCAACAGAGCAGGCCCCAAAACTGAGCCCTGCAGAACCCTACTTGTTATGCCCTTCCAGCATGACTGTAAGTCATTGATAACTACTCTCTGGGCATAGTTATCCAGCCAGTTATGCTCCCACCTTATAGTAGCCCCATCTAGGTTGTATTTCCCTAGTTTGTTAATGAGAGGATCATACAACACTTTATCAAATGGTTTACTAAATTCTAGGTATACCACACCTACAGATTCTCCCTTATGCTTGAGGCGTGTTATCCTATCAGAAAAAGCCATCAGATAGGTTTGACATTCGTTCTTTACAAATCCATGTTGGCTGTCACCTATCACATCTTCCAGATGTTTATAGATGAATGCCTTAATTATTTTCTACATTATCTTTCTTAGTATAGACGTTAAGCTGTGACTGGTCTGTAGTTTCCTGGGTTTTCCTTATTTCTCTTTTTATAGACAGGCACTATATTTGCCTTTTTCCAGCTTTCTGGAATCTCTCCTGACTTCCATGACTTTTTCAAAGATAATAGCTAATGGCTCAGATAGCTCCTCAGTTAGCTCCCTGGGTATTCTAGGATACATTTCATGAAGCCCTGGGGACTTGAAAATATTTAACTTGTCTAAATAATTTTTAACTTGTTCTTTTCTATTTTAACTTCTGAACCGACATCCTTTTTGTCGAAGCAAAAGCCTCACTCAGTTTACGTGGCTAAACAGTTTTATTGGCCAATAAAAGCAAAGTGAGCCAAACATGGTCCCAGCAGAGCCGGGCCCAGTGAGGCTGGCTAATACAACCAATCCTAGTGTCTTTATACCCTTGACCAAACAGCCTGACGTCAGGGCATCCAATTACAGAAGTAATCAATTAAGCTAGGAAAAATAAAGCCTTGTCAACAAGATGGTGGACAGGTACAAGGGAGTACCTCTCCTGTCTAAACCAGCCCAAGAAACACATTCCAATAGCACATCTGTCTTGGCCTGGCACATGGGGTGATAGAAAGTTCATTCTAGTCTACGTGCAAAGGCAAAAAAGCTGAAATGGTTTCTGTTATACAAGATGGCTTCTAGCTAAACATAAAATGGTTTCTACATTTTCTTCAGCATTCACTACTATAGGCATCCCATCACCACCCACCTTCTTGGTGAAAACCGACATGAAGAAGTCATTAAGACTCTTGAATTTCCACATGTTCTGATTTGGGTTTTTCCTCTCCATTGAGTAATGGTCTTAACTTGTCCTTGGTCCTCCTCTTGCTTCTGATGTATTTTTAGAATGTTTTCTTATTACTCTTCATGTCTGTAGCTAGTTTGAGCTCGTTTTTGGTTTTGCCCCGAGATAGTTTTGTTATTTGTAGTCATCCTTTGTAATTTGACCACCTTGCTACTTTTTGTAGGACTCCTTTTTTATTTTTAGATTACTCAAGTTCTCCTGGATAAGGCAGGGTGGCCTCTTTCCATACTTTTTATGTTTCCTATACAGGGGAATAGTTTCCTCTTGTTCCCTTAATAATGTCTGTTTGAAAAACTACTGACCGTCTTCAGTTGTTTTTCCTCTTAGCCTTGCATCCCCTGGAGTCTTTACCTACCAGCTCCCTGAGTTTGCTAAAGTCTGCCTTCTTGAAATCTATTATCTGTATTTCGCTGTTCTCCCTCTTACCATTCTTTAGTATCATGAACTCTGTTCCTTTCATGATCACTTTCACCCATGCTGCCTTCCACTTTCAAATTCTCATCCAGCTCCTCTCTGTTTGTTAAATCGAATCTAGAGCAGCCTCCCCTCAGTAGCGTACTCCACCTTCTGGAATAAAGAATTGTCTCCAACACATTCCAAGAACGTGTTGGAGAATCTGTGCCCTGCTGTGTTAGTTTCCCAACAGATGTCTGGATGAAGTCCCCCATCATCCATAAGTCCTGTACTTTGGATGATTTTTGTTAGTTATTCAAAAAAAGCCACATCTGCCTCCTCTTCTTGGTTAGGTGGCCTGTAGTAGACCCCTACCGTGACATCCCACCCAAGAGTGGCGTGAGGCCGGCTGCGGCAGCTGGCGCCGCAGGCGGAAGGTGTGATTGGCGCCCCTGCCTGCATGGCCCTACATAGGACAGTGAACCACACTCAGTAGGCATGTGGGTTCTATCTTTCCACTAGCTGAGAAAGCACATCTCCTTACCCAGGTTTCGTTTTCACTGCGAGTTCTTCTGGCAGAAAATATGCTAACGAGGGACTCATTAGCATAAGTCACAATCTCATTAGCATATTTGCTGCTGTTTAGCAGAAAATATGCTAATGAGATTGTGACTTATGCTAATGAGTCCCTCGTTAGCATATTTTCTGCCGGAAGAACTCTCAGTGAAGATGAAGCCCCAGAGACTTTCAACAAGTCCTGTCTACTATTTCCATCTTAACCTTAGACCAAATGTATACATTTTTAATACATAAGACAGAGTCTACTCTGATTTTTAAGTTGATGAAACACAAGGCTTATCTCCACTAAACCGCAGATCCATGCTGCAGCTATCTATTTAGTGTGTCTGCTTAGACGTGATAGATCAATCTCAGAGCGCCATCAATGCTGGTATTCCTTACAGCCTGCAAGACACCATAGTAAAGACGCTGACTTCAGCTATGGTATTTGAGTAGCTGAAGTGACGTAGATTAGTTCAATGGTGGGGATTAGTGTAGACTAGGTGACCGTGTGAAACCAGGAACACTTTGCCTTTTTTTACAGAGCTGTGTTACATTTGCTCAGCGAGTGAATCCTAAACACTCATTTAAAATACACACAACCCAATCACTTTGTTATACTTCCCTTTGTCTTTTCAGTGCTGTCATTTGTTCTGCAGTTCTGCTTGCTCTGTGTTGCTTTATTTTTTATTTTTTTACTGTTTTCTATGTGTGAAGTATTACATTGAGTTGATGTCCCTTAGAAATTGCACAAGCCTGTGCAAATGCCTTTTAATCTCCTTCCAGCGTCAGAAAATATTGTACAGACGACCCTCGCACTTCCAACCTATGACAGTTCTCCAGGAACCAATTAAGTCAAGTTGTCATAAGTCAAACCCTTATTTCCCGTAGGCGCAATGATATAAATGGGGGTTCTGTTCCTGGCCCGCTTTGCCTCCTGGGAGTTGTAGTCCTCAGTACACCGGGTCCAAAGCCAGTGGCATGGCACAAGCTGCGCCCAGAGCTGGCTGGGACTACAGGCGACTGGCTGACCCTGTGGCTTGCTGTGTAGGCGGGCTTCAGAGGGTGGGCTGGAGTAGAGCGTTCCTAAATGGGGGGGAGGTCATACATTGGGGGTCTCCTGTATTAACGTTCATGATGAGAGCGTGACTATTTCTAGTTGACTCGTGGATTTGTTTAGCATCTTAAAATTGAGCTCTGTGTGCAGATGATATGCATGCAACAGAGAGAGATTTGTGAAGTGCAAATCTTCACAGCATTCTAGTGTTTTTGCAAATGCTTCATTTTTTGAGGGAAACTTTCCCTTAAGATGTAATAGTCTGTGTATGGTAGGAGGCGCAGTTTATTAAATTGGACCTTGGGTGCATATTTTTATGCTTTTACTTAAAGACCATTTCTTTCTTCCTATAGCTGATTTGAGTATATAACACTTTGGCATGTTTTATAGCTTGAGGTCTTAGAAAAGCTGATAAAATTTACTCCAAAGACTGTTTATTTTATTTCATTTCATATTAAATATCTTAAACAGAGTACCTTGTTAATTACGCCTTGTTTTAATATTCCTTTTCCATGTCTAAGCACTATTAAAAATATGTCTTGAGGTTTTTTGTTTCTACTGGTGGCACATATCCACACATTATCTAAATAGTGGTGTACATACCAAAATTCAGTCCGCACAAGGATGGAAAAAATTACAGGGAACGCTGGTCATTGTGTTTATTTACTAGTATTTTGAATTCTTCCTGCTTCTTTCCCATACATCTCACATTAGTAGAGACAGACCTCTAAGATACTGATTTGATTTTGCCCCCCAGATTTGTATTGTCTCTCCTTGATACCTGCTATTTCAGCCCATGCTCCCTCCCCCTCAATTTCTGACCAGTCTCCTTGGTCTGGGGTGGGCCTTTGGATGATGGGGTTGGGGCACAGGAAGATGCTCCAGATATGGGACCAAGGGGTTTGGCGTGTGGGAGGGGGCTTG